GAGACCTTATAGCGGCCTTCCAGTACCTGAAGGGTGCCTATAGAAGAGCTGGGGAGGGACTCTTTGCCAGGAAGGGTAATGATAGGACAAGGGGAAACCGTTTTAAATTGGAAGAAAAAAGATTCAGATTAGATCTCAGGAAGAACTTTTTTACTCTGAGGGTGGTGAGACACTGGAACAGGTTGCCCAGAGAAGCTGTGGATGCCCCATCCCTGGAGGGGTTCAAGGCCAGGCTGGATGGGGCTTGGAGCAACCTGCTCTAGTGGGAGGTGTCCCTGCCCAGGGCAGGGGGGTTGGAACTCGATGATCTTTGAGGTCCCTTCCAACCCAAACCATTCTATGAATCTGGATTGGTTACAGGCAATTCATTAATTAGTCCTGAAATCTGGAAAACCCCAATGTTTCCAGGTGCTCACCCTGTTTATGTTTCTGTGTGTGTGACTAGTCCAGGCAGCTCTGGGCATCACACACAACGTGGTTTTATGTATTTAATGTCAGCCCTGCTCAGGGGGAGGGAGTGGTGCAGAAGCAGCCAGAGAGTGGCTGAAAACTGACTCCTCAGACTCCAAAGCAGGTGGAAAAACGACCATGATACTTTATGTACAACCAGTGCAAGTCAGTATCAGCAAGTTTTTCCTGCAATCAAAAAAAAAAAACCCAACCAATCCCAGTGATGAGAGATGCTGGAAAGGAAACTGGTCCCTACCTTTCGGCTGGGAAGTCGATGACGGTGTGGAATTTCCCCTGTAAAGCTGCAGGGCCTTCCCCCACTTCGATGTACTTGCTGTCTGCCACGATGGGGGAGTTGATCTGGGCTTGGGTCCGTGCCTGAGCCTCCTCCAGGGTCAGCAGCTTCGTGGAAGGGGAGGACACCAGCAGGGACTTGGGCCGCGATAACGAGCTGTGCCCTGGGAGGGAAAAAACCACAGAAAACAGGGAGAATGAGAAAGCAGCAGCGTGGAGATGTGAGCTCTGGGTCTGTGTGTTTAGGGAGGTGCCGTGTTTTTCTAAACCTTTGTTATCCCAGCCACTGGGAGATGGGGCTGAAATCACCCTTCTGGCAGAGGAATGTTTATGGCAAAAAAAAATTCCTCCATTACGAGAGCAGCTTAGTGTGTTTTAAAAAGAAAAAAAAAAAGAGAGAGGGAAGCAGCTTGGGTGAAACCTTTACTGAAATACTTTAGTGTCATCTATATGCAAAGCTCTGTTAAGGAAGTGATGGTTTCTGTTTTTCTAAAGCTTGGGTTAGTCATTTCCAGGTACAACAGGACCGAAGTTGCTACAAACTCAGGTGCAGATGGACAGAATAAACAGAATTTAGCGCCTTTTTACGGCTTGTGCTTGGTTTTGGAGATGAACACGTAAGTTTTTGCAGGAGAAGCTGACTCTGCCTCCTGCTGCTGGGCTCTGCTAAGCCAGTTTGCAGGGCAGAAGCTGCTCCAGAGGGGCTTGTTGTAAGAGCAACTGCCTCTCATTTGCCAATTCTTACAGTCAAAGTATTTCTGTGGTTATTCTCACGTGAGTTAAGGGCTGTCATCACATCAACGTCCTGCCTGGTTCCATTCCTACTCCCCCTTCAGCATCACAGCACAGTCTCCTGTGTGCTTGTCAGCCCTAAGTGCTGTCCCAGGTGAGGTTTGGGTTCCAGCCTCACCTGGAATGGCTTAAAGAGGCTTGGGAATACCACGTCCACTTGGGAATACCATGTCCACTTGGGAATACCACCTCCACCTCTTACCAGGGGTATGGGCAAGAAGCCATGCTCAAAACCAGAAGCTCCTGGAATCCCAGAATCTTCTAGGTTGGAAAGGACCTTAAAGATCATCTTGTCCAACCATCAACCTCACTGACAAAAATAGACACCCACACAACAAACAAGGAGCATCATCACTAAACCAGACCTCCCAGCACTACATCAACCCGGCTTTTGAACACCTCCAGGGATGGGGCCTCAACCCCCTCCCTGGGCAGCCCATTCCAATGGCTGAGAACCCTTTCAGTGAAAAAATTGTTCCTAATATCCAGCCTGAACCTCCCCTGGGGCAACTTGAGGCCATTTCCTCTCGTCCTGTCGCCTGTGACTTGGGAGAAAAGAGACCGACCCCCATCTCTCTACACCCTCCTTTCAGGGAGTTGGAGAGAGCAATAAGGTCTCCCCTCAGTGTCCTCTTCTCCAGGCTGAATAGGAAGCCCTGAAGAAGATGCTGCCTTGCTGTAGCTGAGAACTCCTGCACTTGGCTGTGAAACAGCCCGACCCTTCTCCCTGCCAGTTTTGTGTCAGAGCGCGCTGAATGCGAATGACCAAGTCATTAAACAATTAGCTGAATTTACACGGTCCATTCTAAGCCTGGATAATCATTTGGCTCCCACTCGGAGAGTATTTATCTGCCCCTGGCAGAGCCCAGCCTGCTCGGGGCTCTCCCTGCTCAGCCAAGCTCACCTCTGGTCCTGCTGACTTCAGCCTGCCTTCCAAAAGCTGGGCTGGGAGCAGCTCTGCTCTCCCAGGCAGAGGCAGGGCTTGGTTAGAAGTGGGGAGCAGCAAATATTTTGGAAAAGCAGCCCTCTGTGCTCCAGAGGTGATGGAAACTTCACAGGAGGGGAAGGTTATAGAGGCAGATGGTGCACACTTAATGCTGCTGAGGAGGAAGAAGAGCTCGTGGTGTCCACGTCTGTGGATCTAATGTACAGAGTGAACCTCCCTCCTGCTGCAGCTCTGCTCAGGTTCAATGCAACAGGTAAAGGTCTTAGGTCTTAGGTCTTAGCATTTACTCAAGGGAATGTGTAGGTTCCAAAGCTGAGTGATGTTTCGGGTGCTCCAGGGTTGGGCACAAACGTGTCGCAGTTCGTTCCTCATCCTAAAGCCACAAACCAGCCCAGAAGGGCCGGTGCAGACCGAGCCCTGTGGCTGGAGGGCCCTGCTAATTAACCCCCAGGGACTGCAGGGAAGAGATAACCAGGACAGCAGATGGCAACATGCTCCTCATTAAGAGCAGGACTCAGTTGCTCAGCGTCACCATCGCTGGGTGCAGAGAGCTGTCATTAAATCACTGCACTTCTATTTGTGCTGTGAGGTCCTGACGAGGGCAGACACGACAGGATGGCTCAAATGGATACATAGGCAGAAGCATCAACAATGTTGGCTTTAAAAAGAAGGGGATGGAGCCAGGGAGACTAAGATTTAAGAGATTCCTTACAATTTCTTGGAGTTAGGGCACAAAAGTAGCAGCCAAACATTAAGGTGTGCACTTCTGTAGAGCACCCTTGGCTTCCAAGACAGGTCCTGACAGCAATTTCTAAAACCAGGCTATAGTTCTGACATCATAACCTTGGAAATCCATCCTCTAAGTTACAGTAAAAGCATATTTTAAATGTCCTGGGGAAGGCTCAGATACCCATTAAGCGCCTGGTACCTTTTTAGGTGATGAAGGCAAAGCCAGTGGAGAAGACACTCACCTGCTCCATCGCGTATGACCGAGCTGAGTTTGGAGCTGAAGAGCACGTCCACGTGGTTCAAGATGAATTCCACCACCACCGACTGGATGCGCACCTCCATGAAGGCGGCCGTGCCGCTGAAGCAGGCGGACTCAATCTGCTTCGACCTGAGGAAAAGGCAGAGGAGATGAGATGGGAAGAGCCAGAAGATGATGGGAAGAGCCAGAAGATGATGGGAAGACACGCTCCTGTAGGGTAAGGCTTCAACGGGTGCAGAGCTCTTGTGCCCAGCTGCTCAGGAAGCAAGACTTTAGAGCAATTAAGAGATTAAATCTTAATTTATTAAATCTTAATCTTAACTGGAGGGGTTCAAGGCCAGGCTGGATGGGGCTTGGAGCAACCTGGGCTGGTGGGAGGTGTCCCTGCCCAGGGCAGGGGGGTTGGAACTCGATGATCTTTCAGGTCCCTTCCAACTCAAACCATTCTGTGATTCTGTAAATCTCATCAAAGCATTATGCAAACGATCATACTGACTGGTGATTTATTTACATCCAGGTTTTGGGTTCAGGTTTGAGTCTTACTGCAAGAGGAACGCCGGGTCTAGAGGGAGAAGAAGGTGGCAGGTCTGGATTCAGGTTAATTAATTGCGTACACAAAGTGGGGGGCTCTTTGTTAGGTCCCCAGGAGCCACAACAGGGACCTCAAACCAGAGAGGGTTCAAGTGTTTGTGGGTGAAACCCCAGGAAGGAGAAAGGAGCTCCCCCTCCCCAGCTGCACCCAGCGGGGTCTGTGACTCACATTTCTCAGGTCAGTAACAAAAACAGTCCAAAAATCAACACAAGAGGTCAGGGTTTGGTTGGTTTTTTATATCTTCTGAAGCAGAAATTTAAAATGACATCACTGCTTTTTAAACTACCTTATTAAGCACATTCAAACCAAATTTTCGGGGACAGATTTATCAAAGCTCACATCCATCGGATTGCATTTTTGCAGCCAAAAGCTTTCAAATTAGACTCTGAAGACTTATGCAATGGGAAATTAGTGATGCCACTGCACAAATTCTCCTGGCTGATCAAGGACACGGTGGTCTCATCCAGCCAGGAGCGGGGAAATGCTGCAGAAATTCTAGAAAAATCTAGAAAAGAGGGGTGGGGGGGGGAATCAATTTCACTGAATTTCACTGAATTTTTTAGAGTTGGAAGGGACCATAGAGATCATCTAGTCCAACTGCCCTGCTGAAGCAGGATTGCCTAGAGCTTGTCAGAGCATGTTACTCAGGAGCATCCAGGTGGGGCTTGAAAATCTCCAAGGAAGGGGACTCCACACCCTCCCTGGGCAGCCTGTCCCAGGGCTCTGGCACCCTCACTGTGAAGAAGTTTCTCCTCATATTTGAGTGGAACCTCTTATGTTCCAACTTGTGCCCGTTGCCCCTCGTCCTCTCACTGGGAACCACTGAGAAGAGTCTGGTTCCCTCCTCCTTCAACCCTCCCTTGAGATACTTGTAGGCATTGATAAGGTCTACCCTCAGCCTTCTCTTCTCCAGACTAAAGAGTCCCAGCTCTCTCAGTCTTTCTTCATAAGGGAGATGCTCCAATCCTTGAATCATCTCTGTTGCCCTTCGCTGGACTCTTTCCAGTAGTTCCCTGTCCCTCTTGAACTGGGGAGCCCAGAACTGGAGGCAGGATTCCAGTTGTGGCCTCCCCAGTGCAGAGCAGAGGGGGAGAATGACCTCCCTTGACCTGCTGGCCACACTCTTCCCTATGCAACCCAAGATACCATTGGCCTCTTGGCCACAAGAGCACACTGTTTGCTCATTGTCATTTTACTGTCCACCAGGACCCCTAGATCTTTCTCTTCAGAAGTTGCCTCCAGCAGGTCCACCCCTAACCTGTACTGGTACCTGACATTTTTCTTCCCCAGGTGCAGGATCCTACACTTTTCCCTGTTGAACCTGCAGTCAGCAGAACAGAGTTGTTGTGAGACACAATAGTTGTTGTGAGACACAATAGTTGTTGTGAGACACAATAGTTGTGGTGAGACACAATAAGAGTGGGGTGTCCCTTCTGGGTGTCCCCCCAGGTAACAGGGGGGGCTGTTTCACATCACTAGGGCTGGAGGACTCAAGACTGACTTCCCCTTAGAAATTTTACAGGAGAAGGAAGCACATTGGATGGAAGATCTTTCTCAACCTGCTGAACGTTCTATGATTTTCTGGAGAACAGGTACCCGCCTGTTTTTAATCAATATAAAAACTTATCTTGTATTGAAACGGGGGTAAAAAAAACCCAAAGAGTACTTTACCTTAGGAGGTTTGGAGCCCAGACGATTGCTAAGTTCTTGGTGTGCATGTTTGTGATGGAGCAGTAATCAGCAAGACGAGCTAAGTGTCTCATTAGGAACTCCAGGGTCCTGGAAAACAGGAGAGAGGCAAACATTGAGCACCAAGGAGTGTGATTTACACAACAACCCCCCCCTCATTAGTTCCTTTGGCTTTGACAGCTCCGAGCAAGAAACGTTGAACTATGTACCCCAAGTAAAGCAATTTTAGCAAACAATTAGCAAAAAATTAGCAAAAAAACCCCAATTTTAGCAAATCAGGAGTCTCTCCTGATGAGGAGGTGGCCAAAGCCTCTGCTCTCAGCAAAGGGCCAAGGGATGGGAATGTCTTGGTGCCACCAGCACAGTGGGATCAGAGCCTTTGGATGTTCATCACATGGCTGAGCAAAAAAACCCCCCACCTTGCACTTCAGTGATGGGGAATGTTAATTTGGGTCAGGGGGGAGTATTTATTTAGGCAGCAAACCACCAAATTGTATGAGTTTTACTTAAGAAATTACCAGCTGTAAGGTTCTTACATGTATATAAGGCAGATACATAGGCAGCAAACCACCAAATTGTATGAGTTTTTCTTAAGAAATTAGCAGCTACCAGTTTCCTACATGTATATAAGGCAGATACGTGTATTTAAGGTAAATACATGTATTTAAGGCAGATACATGTATTTAAGGCAGACACAAGGTTAAACTTCAGAGGCTTCTGTTGGCAGATACAAGTATTTAAGGCAGATACAAGGTTAAAATTCAGAGGCTTCTGATCACATTAAAAAAAAAAAAAGTATATTTTTTTTTATATTAAACACTGCTGCCACCCGTGAGGAGGAGGGAGCACAAGGTGTTATGAAAATGCTGCTGTCTCCTCCTCGGTGCCGTTGCTTGGCAGCAGCCCTGGCTCTGTCTCACTGCTATTTTGAGGGGGGGGAGCAAATGGGGGGGTTTTGGGGATCAAAATTCCACAACTGGACAAGGGCCTGACACAAAGCTGGGTGGTTCTGGCTGGAAATAAAAGGGGCCACCTCCAGCACCCTGCCCCTTACCTGCACGGAGCTTCTCAGCACGGAGTAGCAGAAAAATAAAGTGGTTTTTTGGGTTTTTTTTCCCCTTTTTCCAAGCAAACCAGGGCTGAGGGGAGCAGCAGCCCCGGGCAGTGATGGCATTTCCATCTTATCTCCCCTGCCCTGGGTCTAGGACTAAGTCCCACATCAGTGTGTGTCCCCCCCCATAAAATACAAGTGGTTTGAGGGACAAGGTGGAATGTGCCAGAAAAAACTGATGAAGGAGAGTGATAGTCGATTTTTGAAAAGGTCCTCTGCAAGGCCCTGCCCCCCTTATCTAACATAAAATATTACAATTAGTTAATGCAAAGTATCAGCTATTATGCTAATCACTTGTTATTTAAATAGCAAGTATAACTTAACTTAAATCACATTAGTCAACCATTATAATTAGTTAAAGCTAATGATCATATAATAAGTTATTGATATTCAAATAACATATGAGTTATTTATACCACTCAGATTCACCATTGCACTGTCTAGCTAATCACCATACATTATGATAATTAAAATTTAAATATTTATTAGTTATCAGTATTATAAATAGTTATCAGTATCCAAATGACTGTCTTCATGTGTTACAACTGGCTGTCTGTACCATGCAGGGTACAGAAACATGCCTTGTTCTGAAAATTAACATACAATAATAATATTACAATAATAAATTAATATGCCAATTGCTGATTATCATAAAGTATTACAATTAGCTACCATTAGCCAAATAACCTAACCATAATGAAACATGCCTTGTTCTGAAAATTAACATACAATAATAATATTACAATAATAAATTAATATGCCAATTGCTGATTATCATAATGTATTACAATTAGCTATAGTTAGCCAAATAGCCCTCTGCATACATCATAAATGGGTGTCTAACCCACTCAGGATACAGCATCATAAGTGGTCCAGCTAATTACAATAGGTATTGATATTTAAATAACTTTCAACATACTTTGCAATTAGCCATTTATACCAATCACGATACATTGGTGAAGACCAGTTACCATCCACCATTACAATAATTAGTTATTAATACTATTTAAAGACTCATTAATGCACAGTATTATATTTAGCTATTAACACCACTCACCAGACTTTTTAGATGCCTTTTTACCATCCCTGCCATAATTTTTTAATATTAAAGACCCCTGACGTTATTATACTTAGTCGTGACTCATTACCATATATCACACATACTTTGCAATTAGCCATTTATACCAATCACGATACATTGGTGAAGACCAGTTACCATCCACCATTACAATAATTAGTTATTAATACTATTTAAAGACTCATTAACACACAGTGTTATATTTAGCTATTAACACCACTCACCAGACTTTTTAGATGCCTTTTTACCACCCCTGCCATAATTTTTTAATATTAAAGACCCCTGATGTTATTACACTTAGTCGTGACTCATTACCATATAACAAAAAATCACTTATTAATACCAATTAGTTTGACTAATTAGCCTAACAAGCTGGTGATTTCTAATCACCGTATTATATTGAGTTATTCCACCAGAATATAATGTTATGTTATAATTTGTTGGTTACGATATTGCTGGGGTTGGGGGGGGGGTAGGAATTAGAGACAAAATCCATGTCACCAAACTAAACTGATGGCAGGAAGCAATTTTTGGGGCTACATTTCACTTTTTAAAATGTGACAGTATTGTGACACCTGGAATAAAACTACTGCCTTGGTGACATTGGTCACTCCTGCCCTCCTGAGTTGTCTCCTACCTCTAATGGCCAAGGCAGTCAAACAGGACTATGCAGAGTCTCTGTCTGGGAAGGAGCTAATTAAAATATAAATCAACTTTACAGCTAAACCATTTCACTACCCGAAGGCACGGGGTGGTCAGAATCACCCTGGTTTTGGGAGGAGGGGACACTGACCTGTAGTGAGGGGGGGGCAGCTGCTGGATCACGTCGTGGATTTTAACCAGCCGTTCCTCATCCGTAGCAGCAGAAACAGCGTCCTGGAAGGAGGCAGGAAGGATTTAACCACGAAAAAGACCAGTTCCCTCCCCCAGCAGCCTGACCCTGACCCTGGGCTGCATCAAAAGCTGCGTTGCCAGCAGGTCCAGAGAGGGGATTCTGCCACTTGACTCTGCTCTGGTGAGACCTCACCTGGAGTCTTGTGTGCAGGTCTGGAGCCCTCAATAGAAGAAGGACATGGACCTGATGGAGAGGGTCCAGAGGAGGGCCACAAGGATGATCAGGGGGATGGAGCACCTCTGCTCCGAGGACAGGCTGAGGGAGCTGGGGTTGTTCAGCCTGGAGAAGAGGAGGCTCCGGGGAGACCTAATAGCAGCCTTCCAGTACCTGAGGGGGGCCTACAGGAAGGGTGGGGAGAACCTGTTTAGAAAGGCCTGCAGTGACAGGACGAGGGGCAATGGCTTCAAGCTGGAGGGGAACAGATTTAGACTGGAGATGAGGAGAGGGTTCTTCACTGGGAGGGTGGTGGAGCACTGGAACAGGTTGCCCAGGGAGGTGGTTGAGGCCCCTTCCCTGGAGATATTCAAGGAGAGGCTCGAGGAGGCCCTGGGCAACCTGGTCTAGTTGGGGGTGTCCCTGCTGACTGCGGGGGGGTGGGACTAGATGGCCTTTGGAGGTCCCTTCCGGCCTGGGCAATTCTATGATTCTATGATTCCATGGCCAAAGTGCTCTTCTTCAGTAGGGAGGTGGGTTTTGTCACTCTTCTCTACCTTCAGAGAACTGGGCAATTCTATGATTCTATGAGTCTATGACCCACGTGGCCAAAGTGCTCTTCTTCAGTAGGGAGATGGGTTTTGTCGCTCTTTTCTACCTTCGGAGAAGCATCTGTCTTTTGGGGACACATGGATAATGTGACAAAGGCCACTTACATCAAGATTTGGGCCGCTTTATAGCTTAATTGTACAATGAATTCCTTACAAAGGGTGTTCAGCTCCAAGTAGCAGCTGCTTCTAATCCCACTCCTGCTGGAGAAGTCATTGGGGAATGGTGACCGACAGGGGAATTCAGGCAAAGTGTTTTTAGTGTCCCCAAAACCTTCTACTGGGGCCCAGAAGTGGAATAGACACGGTGTGGCCTGGGGGATGAAGGAAGGCAGGAGTGGTTTGGAACATCTCCAAAGGAGGAGACCCCACCACCACTCCAGGAACGTGGTGCGGAGGGAGCTCGTGTGTTGGGCTGGTCATTTTGGAGATACACCCTTGTGATCTCTTTAAAAACCTCAACTTAAGGAGAATTAAGACCAAAAAAAGGAGTGTGGAAGATGAGTTCAGAAGCTGTATTTCAGCATTTCTCTGTTCTACCTGCGGAGGTGAAGCCATGGTCACACTGAAGTGGGAAGAGAAAGGTGTTGCCTCCTACTTACGGAGAACTTCTCGTAGAGCTGGTAGGTCAGCAGAGGGTTCGGGAGCTCGCGGAAGTAGAGTTTGCAGAGGGAGCCCACGCAGTGAATGTCCTGGATGTAAATATCCTTTGTCAAGTCAGGAATCTGCTCGGAGTCAAACTCGTGGCTGGAAATGAGAAGAGAAAAATAAAATAAATAAAAAATGGGTAAAGGGGTTGGGAAAGGGGGAGGAGGGGGATGAAAATAAAACCCAGCACAAATTACAGTCGAGAAAAGCAAGGGCTTCCTGATTTACAGGAAAAAATAAACACTTAGTCACCAAAGCCACACGACCCATGGCTGTGGTGCTGCTAGACTGGATTTTTCCAAAATGAGACTTTTTTTTTTAAAAAAAAGGGCATTTTCAGTTAGTTTTACAACTGATGGCTGGTCTGCAGCGCCTTCTGCTGCAAGAGGGCCTTTCACAAAGCCTTGAGAGAATGTCTTCCAAGACCATGGAGACAATTAGAAGATTTACCTCCCAAGGGCTGCCCGGAGGTGAAGGTTGGAATTGGAGAAGGTTGGAATTGGAGAAGGTTGGAATTGGAGCTGCTGTCCCTTTGCATTTCAAAGCCCTGGAAATGGGAGTGATAAAGCAGCGCCATGGAAACCAGCCTCTGCAGAAATTCCATGGGGAGAAGAGGGATGAGCTGAGCAGCCCCCACTCCGGGGTGAAAAGAGCCAGAAACCACATGAAGAAAAGCCCTGAGTGTTCTCCTTGGTTTTGCAAAGAGCAAGAAAAACCAAAATCACAACCATTTATGAAAGAAAAGCTGAGCTCAGAGGGTCGAGGGCTGGAAAGAGCGTGGAAAGTGCTGGTTCAAATTAGCAGGAGAGGTTTGCAGGGACCAGCACGGTGACCAGGAGCTGCAGGAACACGGTGGCTTCAGCTGAAACTCCCTTTCCCTACAAGAGTTTTGAAGTTGTAAAGCAAAAATGGCTGATTGTCACCATGGGGAGCCCTCCTGGCTGCACTGCAGCCACGGCAACACCCCAGCTTGGTGGCAACACCAAGATAAAATATGCCAAAGACTGAGCTGGGATCTCTCTTGGACCCATGTCCAAGGCATGTGGTGCATGGGGAACCTTCACATCCTTTATGGGACCAGGGAGGAGAGCCTGAGACACTGCACCATGGAAAGTGGGGGGAGAAAAGGTCTCTGCTCCTTCAGACAAGAGGGTGAAGAGTCCAGCCCAGCTCCTCATCCCAAAGACAGCACAGAAGGAGACACGAAGGGCTCTGTTCTGCCCAACTGATGGACTCCTCCTCACCACAATCCTCGGTGGTCAGTCCCACAGGCACCATCTGACTCATCCCTTACTCATTGCTGGGACAGAAACTTATCTCCCGTGGAGCCAAGTGGTGGAAAAGGGAGATCTCAGAAGGGAGATCAGGGGAAGACAATGACCTCTACCCCATGAAGATACACTCAGCCTGGGCTGAAATTCCCTCCATCCCTCCTGGTACCCCAGGGCATTTTCCCAGGAATAAATCAGAGACCTCCCTGGAGTGAAGAAGGGGAAGCCCTGCTACATTTATCCTTTTTGCCCTCTACGCTGCTGGTTTCGAGAACTACACGTTATTTCCTTGGCTCCGATGGAAGATTTTGTTAGTAGAAGAATAAATACAACTTCAATTCTTCTAAAAGCCAGAGCCAGAAGCCAGGGATGCACAAACCAACTCAGCGCTGGCTCTGCTTTGCTGTTACTGCAAAGAGCCAACCTCTGGCCTGGAGTCAATCATCTCCCACGTGGAATAAAACCTCCAACTTTCTCTCCGACCAAAAAGCCCTTTAAATCTTGGGGGATCCAATTTTTCTATGTGAAACTTAAGAACAGTTACTCATTTATAAGGATGCTGCAGCTCTAGCTTTTGAAACAAAGCCCTAACGATGTGTTTATGGAGCTGGAAACTACACAATGCAACGTGTCCTACATTAATCAAACACTTAGGAAAATCTGTAGTCATTTAGATGAACAACAGGGACACTGCCTCCAAGTTATGCCACGCACTCCCCTCCTTTTGTCTTTGGAACATCTCCGAAAATTGAAAAATAGGCTGTCACTTCATCAAATGGACTGTACCAGGGAATTATGCCATCATTAAGGGTTCAGAAAACCATTTTTAAAGCACCTTTGGAAAACAACGAAGGAGAAGATGGTCTTGGCAACACAAAGGGAAAAAATGGACCAGGGCAGCGATGAGAAAGATGGTCTGGCACAAGTCAAGGTGGGGAATTAAAGGGATGTAACCGAAGCAAGGGCAAAGATTTTATTCAGCCGAGACTGCTGTGGGCAACAGCTACAATTGGAGCCTTTGGAGCCTGCGTATCAAAACCTTGGAGCTTTTTAAACAGAACTTGCTGTGATGGGAAACAGGATTAAGCTGAACCAGAATAAGCCCGTCCATACAAGGGTTTGTGCAGTGACTGGACCGGCTCAAACGTGTCCATTGAGCTTGGGAATCGCTGGTACAAAAAGGATATCCTTCGTATGGAAAATCCCCTTCTCCTGCCTCTGGGAGGGCTCAGGATCAACACTGGGATTAGTCACATCCCACTAGGTTCTCTCAGGCCCTTTGCAGCAGAGAAATGCACAGCAAGTGACAGGGGGAAGAAAAACAGCTTCACAAAAGGATCAAGACCATTCAAGGTGATGGGACCAGCTCCTGATGGGGGAGGACACCCACCTCGCCCGTCCCTGCAGGGCTCAGCACAGCAATCCCACCCCCCCGAGCCCAACACAAGTGTTCTTTGCCTGTTACCAATTAATTGCTAATGACCCAGGAGTCCAGAGCAACAAGGAGAAAGATCAGCTGCTCCGAAGGGCTCCGGGAGCAAGAAGAAACGGGAATGAGATGTGACAGCTCAGTGACACCGTGATCCCAGAGCCTTCCGATACCCTCTCCAGAAGGAAAACCTCCTCCAAAATGAAGTCTATTACAGAATCACAGAATCTTCTAGGTTGGAAGGGACCTCAAAGATCATCTTGTCCAACCGTCAACCTGACTGACAAAAATAGACACCCACACAACAAACAAGGAGCATCATCACTAAACCAGACCTCCCAGCACTACATCAACCCGGCTTTTGAACACCTCCAGGGATGGGGCCTCAACCACCTCCCTGGGCAGCCCATTCCAATGGCTGAGAACCCTTTCAGTGAAAAAATTGTTCCTAATATTAAGGTCTCCCCTCAGCCTCCTCTTCTCCAGGCTGAACACCCCCAGCTCCCTCAGCCTCTCCTCATAAGACTTATTCTCCAGACCCTTCACCAGCTTTGTCGCCCTTCTCTGGACCCGCTCCAGCACCTCAATGTCTTTTTTATGGTAGGGGGCCCAAAACTGGACACAGCACTCAAGGTGAGGCCTCACCAGTGCCCAGTACAGGGGGACAATCACCTCTCGGGCCCTACTCCCCACACTGTTCCTGACACAGGCCAGGATGCTGGTGGCCTTCTTGGCCACCTGGGCACACTGCTGGCTCCTGTTCAGCCGACTGTCCACCAACACCCCCAGGTCCTTTTCTGCCAGGCAGCTCCAGCCCCTCTGCCCCCAGCCTGGAGCGCTGCAGGGGGTTGGTGGGACCGAAGGGCAGGACTACTGAACAACTGGGTGTTGCTCCTCATGGTGACAATCCTAGGGTGCCACCCACGGGGCACAGAGCACCTTGGGACCCCGTGTGTCCCTCATCCATCCCGGGCTCTCACCGCAGCTTCTGGATGTTGGAGGCGATCCCCGACAGCCGGTAGATCCCATCCACGATGCCGTGCTTCTCGATGAACTCCGTGCAGCTCTTGAGGACCTGGGGGACTGAAGAACAGTGGGGTTGGTTAATTGAGGAGTCCTAGATCAGATTGTGCTCTTCAGATGCCATGAACTGAGCCCAGCTGGGCTGTTGCTTTACTTCTTCCTTAGAGGTGAAAGCCTGTAAGAAATGTAACTTTAGGAGTTGGTGTAGAGACTGGTCTTCACTTTAAAGAAATACCAGGATATGAATAGGGTCAAAAAAAAGGCAATTCTGGTCAAGCAGAGACCGTGCAGGTCCCATCACATCTCCCACAACAACTCCAGTGTTAAATTCCATTCCAGAAGAGCTATAAAATTGAGCAAATGCACTCTCTTTGCCCAAAGACTTCCTTTGTTTTCCAATCTATACAGGATTAACCCACACTGCTTGGTTTAAGCAAACACAACCATTAAGGAGATGCTACTTTCTGCACCAGGGCCAGGAGAGATTTTACAACTGATAAATCCATCCCCGATGCCTACCGGAGCGTGAGGGGATGCAGAGAGCTACACAACACCCCGCACTCCCAGGAACTGCAGACAGACCGGGCTGTGACAGGATGGAAAAAAATAAGCCCAGAGGATATAATTAGGTGTCAAGTTAATATTCAAGCCGCTTCACCGACCGATTCCTTCCAGTTCACTTCTCAGCCTCACTGCTGGAGCTCCCCGTGAGCTTAAGGAGGAGCAAACGACTTTATTTATAAAGGGGAGTTACAACTGGCCTGGACACAGAAGGAAAATAAGGATTGAGCTGTTTTGAGCATCAGCAAATCTTCAGGGAAAACGCTCAGGTCCTGGTAGGTTCCTCTGCAACCTCTCCATGCTGATGGAGGTTTATTCTTGCAGTAGGTGCCAGCTCTGATCAATTTGCCACGTGACACAGAATCCCAAGGCGTGACGTGGCAAATCCCCTTATATCGAGCAGCAAATGCCATCTGCCAGTCAGGTCCCAGCCCTGCTGAACCCGGATGCTCTGAGCCCTCCCCTCCCCAGCCCTTCACGGCTCTTTTTTCTCCCCAAACACTGGCCCAGCCAGAGAAAAGACTCATTTTAAGTGGTTCCCTGAAAATCAGCTGGTGCAGCCTCAGCCCGAGGGCACATCTGCTCCGAGAACAAAACCTGTGAATCCACGTGGCACCTCAAATTAAATCAGAGAGACTCTGGGATTGTGCTACCGGGCACTTACAGTCATCCTGCCCCTCTGCTCTGCCCTGGGGACCCATCTGGAGCACTGGGACCAGTTCTGGGCTCCCCAGTTCCAGAAGGACAGGGAACTGCTGGAGAGGGGACAGCAGAGGCTACAGAGATGATGAGGGGCCTGGAGCATCTCCCTTATGAGGAGAGGCTGAGGGACTGAGTTAGGTTGATGGTTGGGCTAGATGATCTTGAAGGTCCCTTCCAACCTAGATGATTTCACGATTCTATGACTTGGGTCTTCTTAGACTGGAGAAGAAAAGGCTGAGGGGGGATCTGATCAATGCCTATAAATACTTCAAGGGAGGGTGTCAGGAGGATGGGGCCACTCTTTTTTCAGTGGTGCCCAGGGACAGGACAAGAGGAAATGGGCACAAACTTGAACATAGGAAGTTCCACCTAAACATGAGGAGGAACTTCTTTGCTGTGAGGGTGGCAGAGCCCTGGCAGAGGCTGCCCAGGGAGGTGGTGGAGTCTCCTTCTCTGGAGACATTCAAACCCCACCTGGACACGTTCCTGTGGGACCTGCTCTGGGTGGACCTGCTCTGGCAGGGGGTTGGACTGGATGATCTCCAGAGGTCCCTTCCTCTGTGTGTACAGAGCAGGAACCTGTCGTGACAATGAGAACCGTGTTGAGGGAGAAGGTGAGGGATGTGGCACCAACAAGGCACTTCCCAAAGTACTTGTTTGTCATGGAAGATCTCGGGCACCGTTAGGATAATTAATATGCACTGAAAAAATTCTATCAGGTTTGTTCTACGCATTTCCTAATCTGGTTACCAGGACGATCTGTTCTTTAAGCTAAATATATCATGCCAGCACCAGGGATATTTTGGGGGAATTCTGCATGGTTGGAGCAGTGACTGCAACTCAAGCGGGGCTATAATTACACCTGCAGACCCTGTGCTGGAGCGGTGACGAGAGTTTTCAACAAAGCTGACACCTGACAATTATCCTCCCCTTTGAGTCCCAGCCCTTTTAGCTAAATATACATTTATACAGATGCATATACACAGGGCACAGTGTCTATTACCAGCAGAAGGAAATGGGAGGACGGCAGCAAAGCCAAAAGTACTTCATTTTGGGAGTGTGACGTGTGCCACGGCCACCACCTACGGTGGCTTCTGACATCATGGTGTGACTTTTCATAGAATCATAGAATTGCCCAGGCCTACAGGCCTTTCTAAACAGGTTCTCCCCAGCCTTCCTGTAGCTCCCTTCAGGTACTGGAAGGCTGCTATTAGGTCTCCCCGGAGCCTCCTCTTCTCCAGGCTGAACAACCCCAGCTCCCTCAGCCTGTCCTCGGAGCAGAGGTGCTCCATCCCCCTGATCATCCTTGTGGCCCTCCTCTGGACCCTCTCCATCAGGTCCATGTCCTTCTTCTATTGAGGGCTCCAGACCTGCACACAACACTCCAGGTGAGGTCTCACCAGAGCAGAGTCAAGTGGCAGAATCCCCTCTCTGGACCTGCTGGCAACGCAGCTTTTGATGCAGCCCAGGATGGGATTGGCCTTCTGGGCTGCAAGTGCCCACTGCCTGCTCATGTCCAGCTTCTCCTCCACCAGCACCCCCAAGTCCCTTTCCTCAGGGCTGCTTTCCAATCCCTTACCCCCTAGTTTGTATTGGTGGTGAGGATTGTTCCGGCCCAGGTGCAGAACCTTGCATTTGCTCTTGTTGAACCTCATGAGGTTCACCTGGGCCCACCTCTCCAGCCTGTTCAGGTCCTTTTGGATGACATCCCATCCCTCTGGTGTATCGACACCACCACACAGCTTGGTGTCGTCCGCAAACTTGCTGATGGTGCCTTTAATCCCCCTGTCTATATCATTGATAAAAATGTTAAATGATGACTTTTCTGGGTACCGATCCCCATGGCACAAATCCCTCCCTCCCCTGCTGCAGAGACCAACCTCTCAGTGTTCACATCCTGATTGCAGCTTTGAGATCCCAACTAATTACCAGATTGGAATCGGAAAGGCATCTCAGCAGGAAACTGATGGGGATTTCTTCTCCTAGGATGTAGCAGCACCTATGCTAGAATTCTAATAATGTTCATTAATTACTGTGGTTTCCTGCAATTATAACAACCGGGCTTGGTTCCAGTCCCACCTGTAACAAGAGTGGAGTCATTCCTACTTTGGGTTTGTTCCTTTTCTGAGCAATAATCATCTGCAGCCACTAAAACCCACTGTCAGGTCCTACATTCAAACACCAACCTCTCCGTGAGGATCTCGGCACCACACACACACCTCCCCTTCCAAAACCCATCCCCTCCCTCCCGCCGCTCTCAGATCACAGGGAATTCCAGGGAATAAAGCACAAAAGGCCAGAAAACGTGGGTGCATCTACAAGGACCCAGCACATTTCATCACCAGAGCAGCTACAGCTCATTCCTGAACATCTCTCAGCTGGTCTGAAAGGTTTATTGCATCTCCCAGGGCTCGTTAACTGGTTAATTCTTTGCGATTAAGAGGAAGCAGAAGTTTGATGGTTTTCATTCTGAAGAACGTTTTGATTCATCTTGAAATCAGGCACATTTCCTTTCCTAGCACCTCGGGTTTATTTATTTATTTTTTTTCCCCTTTTTAATCTTTCGTAACGTTCCCTCCCTGGGCTTGGGGAGGCTTGTTTAATTTTTCTTTTTTTTGTTGTTTTCTTAGTACGTTACTGGAATCAGAACTATTTGTTCAGGCTGGGGAGCGGGGCCTCCTGTCAAGCTCTCCTCCAGCAGCATCGTTTTCACAATATTACAGCAAAAAAGGCAAAGGGGTGGCACGAGCTGGGACTTTCTAAAATCTAAACCTGTGGCTCAGCATGAAGAAGGAAAATGGAATAAACTATCCCAAGCCCCACTCTGAACCACATATCCCGGGTGGTTTTTGAGCCACAAGAACATAAATTAAGAGAATCAGTCCCAAATTTAGGTGGAGGTTGCTCACTAACTGCCCAGGCTGCCTTTAGCAGCCGTGAGGAAGGATGGGGACCTGCAGAGGACACCCCAACCCGGCGTGTTCCTATCATGGATGAGCCCCTTTCCCAAGGTTCTGTGCCCAGCTGAGGCTCTGACAACTTCCAGACATTTGAAATTGGTCAAATAAATCCTGTCTCCCTCACCATATTAACACGTGGTTATGCCAGAACCCAAGGATGAATATCCATCCTCACCCTGATCATTCTTCCTGTTTTTAGCTCCACTTTGCAAAGAAATGCGCAAGTATTTTCTAAAGCAACACGAAAAAACCTGTAATGATTCAGACTGGAATTTCTTCCTGGAGCCTCATTTCAAACTACTCATTTCTGAAACCCTCCACCTCATGTGAAAGTCACCCAAAAGGTGTAAACCCAACACAGGACAGAGGTTACAGAGCTCCTTCTCAGGTCTGTACCTGCCACCAGCGACTCTCCCTTTATAGGCACCATCCCCTGCACGTTCAGAAAAACAGATCATGGAATCATGGAATTGTTGGAGTTGGAAGGGAGCTTCTAGAGATCCCCCAGTCCAACTCCCCTGCCAAAGCAGGGTTGCCCAGAGCACATCACTCAGGAGCATCCAGGTGGGGCTTGAAGATCTCCAGAGAAGGGGACTCCACACCCTCCCTGGGCAGCCTGTCCCAGGGCTCTGCCACCCTCACCCCAAACAAGTTCTTCCTCCCATTGGAGTGGAACTTCCCCTGGTCCAGCTTGTGCCCGTTGCCCCTCGTCCTGTCCCTGGGAACCACTGAGAAGAGTCCGGCTCCATCCTCCTTCAACCCTCCCTTGAGATCCTTGTCAGCATTGAGAAGGTCTCCCCTCAGCCTTCTCTTCTCCAGGCTCAAGAGCCCCAGCTC